TTATAAGTTAAATATTTTCTAACTCTTGTAGTTTAAAAAATTTAGTACCCATTCTGAACATTTAAAAATGAGCATCTGAAAATAATTCTGATACAAGACAAAACGTTCTGAGATCTTTTAAAAAATGGCACATAATGAAATTATGAAATCCTCATTTAGTGTTTTTATATTTAAACAGTTTAATTGGAATGGAATACTAAATTTTCCAGATTTTTCTTCTAAAAGTTGCTTCTAACATGTAAATCTGACACTTTTAACTTTAACATCTCAGTTTCCACTCACTTTCTGCCCTCACTCACAGTCTTTTATTTTATACAACTTCTAGTTTACCTTCTTTATCCATCAAATCCTACCATCATTCCTTTTTCTGTAAGATATCATCTCAGTTTCTTATGTTAATCACTATATTCTGAGATTCTGGAAATAAATTACTGAAGATTTTCCCCAGGAGATTATTAGAAAAGGAAATTGACTAGGTCACTCTCTTACCTCCCACTTCCCCTTCCTGGGTTAAAAAACCTTTAAGATTTACCTTTATTATCAAGGAATAAACACCTTGTCCTGGCATTTAAAGCCTTCCAGAAGTTAATGGACTTGACAACCACATGCTTGGTGGCCTTTAGCCAATCCAGACAGCTGCATTTCGTGCCATTCCATCATTTCCCTGTCTCTACGGAGAAATATCTGCTTACCATGTAGAACCCAGATCAAGACTCAACTTGTTAAAGCTTTTTCTGGCCCTCTTACTTTCTTTCTTGTACTAGGGATTGAACCCAGGGTCCTCACACCAAACTACATCCCCAGCACTTCTTATTTTTTATTTTGAGACATTAAATATTTTGTCTCACTAAATCACTAAGTTGCCCGGATGGGGCTCAAATTTGTGATCCCCTGGCCTCAGCCTCCCAGAGTGCTGGGATTTCAGGAGTACATCACCACTCCCAGCTTTCCTGGCACTCCTGAGAGGCCTCATATTTTTCAGTTTATATCACTGTTCAATAAGCTGTACTTGTCTCTAGATCTTGTTTTCCTCAAACAACATTAGTTCTCTGAGCAGTTCAAAGAGCCATGTGCCTGTAACTTCGCCAGGGCCAGATGCTGTCCCAGGGCAGCTCTAGGGGGTGCCATTCCCTTCTGCTTCTATATACCATTCACTCCATTTTTCATCCTGAATGGAATGACAGAGCTGCCAGTAAAAAAGTGAGCATGAACCCCCCATACAAGAACATGACCCCCCAATAAACAAATGGCTTTTTCTGCATCTATGATATTGATCAAGAGTGCAAAGTTGATGAGGTGGGAGGGGTGCAGTTCAGTGGTAGAGCACATAGGAGGTGCTGGGTTCAATACCCAGCACCAACAAAGAAATAAAAACAAAAACAATGTAAAGTTGAACTTGGGAATGAGAAGAAAATTATTTAATTTTAAGATGACAGAACAAAGAAAGCTTCACTTGAACACAAATTCTGTGTCTTATGCTTGTGATGTGTCATAAGCACAAGAAGGAACTGATATAAAAGTGTCAAAAACCTCTAAATAAGATGTGGAACAAAAGACAGCAGAGTGGGAGGAATTACTCTTGGCAGGTTAGCCCTCCCAGATGGATGTTCCCTGTGTCCTTAATTAACATTCTGTGTGCAGACAGTGATTTCTATCAATGAGAATTATTGCCGTATAAACCAAATTCCCTCTTTTGAATTGTAAGATGGTCCAAGCTGCAATGCTACTACATTAGCATTAGGGAAAAGCCCAAGACTTACTTTCTTTAAAGATTCAGTACATTAGTATACTTCAATCAACTAGTTCTGTCTGCTTATAATTTTCAGTTAAAATTTTCATGTTGAGATGTATAGAAAAATTGTGATTACCATATTTTAGAAGTGGATAAGATGGCTTCAGTGAATAGCACTTTTAGAGTTTATTTCTGGATTCTTCTGAGGAAGTTGCCCTGGATAAACACACTAGATGGTTTATCATGGTATAAGTAATGGTACCTGTTTTCTTCCCTCAGGTCATTTTCCAAGGCCTGAGTCACTTGCTCCAGCTTCTGGGATCTTGTATAGTCTCTCCAGGCTCGCAGGACCTTCAGTTGAAGCTTCCAGTCAGACAGGGTCCCAGCTTTCCCCAGCTTAATCCTATGATCAAGAATCAGCTTGTGCCAGGCAGAGAAATACCGTTTTTGACACTGCAATGGAAATATTTGGAAAATCACCACTAATCAGCACCAATGTTTCTAATGTTGAGATTTTCCCCACATACTTTTTTCTAACAAATCTAGAAACTGGTCTTGACAGAAGACAACAGAGAAAACACAATTCCTTTATGCTTAGAGTGATGAGAAATATTCAAGTCATACAGCTGAACTCTTCTGAGTCTCAAGACTTAAACTAAAATAATACATTCTCAATGTAGGGCACCAGTCCTCTAGGGAGCTGCAATAACAAGTAACATCTGAAATATGAACCAGGGGCTTGAGAGGCTTGAAAGGGCTGTTCCAACATGGCCTGCCTTGCCAGGCTGTCTTGGAACATAAAATGCCAGCCACTCAATTCTTGTTACTGATACCACTGATATTCTACACAAGTGAACATAGGAGATACCAGGAGGATTAAATTGGGGCCTCTGGTCCCCAGGGAGAGGAATACCTAAAAACAATTTTAGTTGGGGTACTACTGACTGTGTTAGGACTTGAGTAAGCAGGCTAGAGAGACTAGATGTTTAGGCTACCTGAAATTTTCTGATTTCCTTGTCTTTCTTTTCTGCCCCCTTTCAGCCTAGAGTCACCTCCCTCAGGAAGCCTATTGAAACCAGGAAGGAAGGAAGGAAGGAAGGAAGGGAGGAAGGAAGGGAGGGAGGGAGGGAGAGAGGGAGGAAGGAGGGGAGGACAGATGAGGGAGGGAAGAAGGAAAAAAGGAAAGGAGATTTGCTAAATATAGGATATGACTCAGTCATAACAAGGAGAAGAAACATAGCTGTTAGATTGAGAGCATATATTTTTTTCATTATTTGTTTACCTACCTCACATAACATAGCATAAAAATGGGGTTAATGTTGTGCTACAGCTAAAAAACAATCCCATGTTTATTTACCGGATTCATTTAAGAGATTCCTATTAAATGACTTGGTGAAATATAATATGCATAGCTATCTCTAATTTTAACTCCTGGGTTATTTCTAATGATGAAATAGTATAAACATAATCCACCTGGACAATAATAGCTCCATTAGTAGTGTCCTTGGATTTTTATATCTCTCTTCTCTGTAAAGTTTAAAGCAACTTCCATGTACTATATATGTATTTTTTCAGTTCTGATACTCAAATCCAAGGCCTAGTATATGCTAGGCAAGTGACCTATGATAAAGCTATATCTTCAGTCTTTATTTTTTATGCATGTACTATTTTAATTCTTAGATCTTAATTACAAAATACAGAAATTGTACATACTCTTCTGATTTACCTCACCATGTTACAACTTCAAGTAGAGAAAGATTTAATGACTAAATTTACAAAGTACTCTAAAGAATTAGTGGTATACCTGAGGCTAAACCAGAAACATTCTGGCATCCTGATGATTCCGCTGTAGACCATAATTAGTCCATTCTAAAAATGAAGGACAGGGCTAGGGATGTAGCTCAGTGGCACCACGCCTGCCTGGCAAGCTAGGTCCTGAGTTCCAGGTACCAAAAAACAAACAAACAAACAAACAAAATAAAAATGAAGGGCAAATTCTTTTATAATGAAAGAAAATTATATGACTTACCATTGGAGAATAGCATCGGTTAGGAACCTATCTGAATTTAGGAGGGGAAAATTTGGGTTTATAAATTCTGCAGTCAATATATTTCTTTAAAAACACTTAAGACTAAAAAACAAAACAAAACAAAAAAAAACACTTAAGACTTTCAGAGCAAAGTGGCAATGTCACTCAGAAGCTGCTTTCTTGAAATTAACTTACTATTGGTTTTCTTTTTTGCTTGTTCAAAAAAGCAATCCTATTAAAACTTAAATAAAAAAATAAGGTATGAGGGCCCGGGATTTAGCTCAGTGGTTTGCAACTGCAAGGTCCTGAGTTCCATCCCCTGGTACCAAAAAAAAAAAAAAAAAAGGTGTGAATCAAAGATAGCTGCTCAGTTCTTCCTGATTTACATCAAACATTATGCAGGTTAACATGAGTTTCGTAAACTTGCCTGGAAAAAAAAAACATTTGGGAAAGGAATATACTCTCAGTCCTTCTTGTCTGTTTTTGTTGTTAGTTGTTGTTGTGGCTGTGGTTTATAAGAAGGGAAGAGAAGTTGCACATTTCCATAGATACGATCTATTTATTCTTCCTATTCTTCCCTCCTCCCAGTGAACTCCCTATTGCTCCCAGGCCTGCTTCTCCTTTTCAGTTCTATACTCTGAGCTCTATTCCTTTGTTCTTTGAAACAAGAACTATTACAGTATTTAAAACCAAAACCAGGCTAGAAGAGAAATGTATTTTGTTTAAGCCAAGAGAAGTTAAACTTTTAACTAGCCAAGAACTAGTCTGACTTTTCTTCATTTTTTTCCTACTTCATCACTTCTGCACTAGATTTTTATTTCTGATAGGTTTTCAAATATAGTCCTACCTTCTTTTCCTAACTTCTACTATCTCTTTATCATAGTTGTAGTGATAATTAAGTCTTGATACAGGTAAATGAAGTATAGAAAGTCACTGTAGGGATGAAACTGTTCCTATGATAATTTTTAAAATAAAATACTACAATATGAAATTTAGAAAGCTTTAAAGTAAAATCCTTCTTTTCCTCTCAAAATCTTCCACAAGACATCATTTGGTTGTTAAGGATTCCACTCAAGAGAAAAAATGACAGCTCGCCCTGCTAAATTTATTACCTGCACTAGAGTTGCCCTCATTCTGTTGGCAAGAAAAGCTCTTCCCTGAAGTGTAATCACACTGCTGTCACTGTGAATGATTGACATTAGGTGGAACAGCAATTTGCTATCTAATCTTCATTGTAATTCTAACCCTGTCACTAGAGATGCTTGTTCTGATTAATGAAGTGGGTAACTCATCAAAATTCCTGTTATTTCCTTTTTGTCAGAAAGCTCAGTGATAATTGCATCAAAATTCTTAGTCATGGAAAAATAAACAATGAATTGTAAAGAGGACAAAAATGTCAACAACTTTACAATTTATTTTTGCTGAATGGAACAAAATGGTGCAACTGGTGGTCTGGGGGAGTTGACCAAAGTTCCAAAGTGTACCTCACCTACCCGCTAGGCTCCAGTGACTGTGTTACTCCCATTCCAAAAGGAACAGACTTTCTTTTGTTATAAAAGTCTTTATTTTTTTTCTTTTGGGGACCACTATGGCCAGGCAAAAGATCAGATGTTGCAGAGTCTGGGGTTTGAGGAGAGGAGGACCTTTACCATGGCCAAATAAATCTCCAGAGGGAAGGGCCAGCCCGAGATTTTGCAATGGAAAAGCAGTACCCTGTGAACCGTCCTAATCCTGATTTTCATCATTTTGCACCCCAAATAAAGATGAAACCACAGTACCCCTTCACCCTCAAGCATACATACTCTTTTAATTAATTAATTGCATTAGAGGAAATACATTGAGTTCCCCAAACACTACTAAACAATTTGTTCCCCAAACAATACTAAAACCTGGACTTGCTTTTAGGTTTCAAGGAAAAGCCTAGAGGCCTAAACTTTGACAACTGCAGTGCGAAATTTCTGTATTTAAATGTTTTCTCCTTTTAAAAAAAACAACAACTCTTTTTACAAAAATTTAACAAACATATCCAAAAGCACAACAAAAGATAGAACAAAAGACTTCCTTCAGCTTCAGAAGTTATCAACATTTTGCTAATCATGTTCTATCTCCAACCACCTTTGCCCCTAGAGTATTTAAAAATAAATGCCAGACAGACATTATATCACTTTACTCATAAATATATCAATATGTACCAGTAACATACTGAAATTCTTAATTCTAAGGAGTTTCAATAAAATATTGTTGTATTTATCTAACAGTTATTTTGCTTCACTCTAGAAGTAGAATTACAGGAAAATTGGTTAGTCTAGTAAATAGTAAATTGTTTTAAAATTTAAATTTAAGTTTTTTAGTGATACTAAGGATTGAATCCAGTGCCTCACACATGATAAGCAAATGCTCAACCATGGAATTATATCCCAGGCCCTTTACACAATTTTTATTTTGAGACAGGGCCTCACCAAGTTGCCTAGTCTGGCCTTGACTTGTGGTCCTCCTGTCTCAACCTCCCAAGTAGCTAGGATTAAAGGTGTGTGCCATGGTACCTGGGTCCATATAGTAAATTCTTAACCAACAAAAGTCTCTGGGGTTTTGTAAAGAATGACACAAATACAGACTACAACCTGAAAAGGATAAAACTCCTTTTCCAACAGAGCCAAGACTAATTCTTTTTTCTTCCAGACTAGTTCTTATGATGCCATCACATCTTTAGTGAGCTCCCCATTGCCTTCTCTTTCCCTTTGGGACTTTCTTCCCTCTCCACCAATCCCTACTCACTGCCCACCCTTTCATGCCAAGAACAAAACTTACCTAAGAATGTATCATACAAATGCTTGCTTCACTTTCAGGTAGTCTTAATGATGTGATATCATTTGTTTCTTACCCATTCAAGAGCCTTATAAATATTCACTTGAAATGTCTAGAGCCCTTTTATTAACTTTTTAAGAGGAAATTTTAATCAACACTGCTTGAGAGACCCCCTCCCTTCATAAAACCCCTTAAATATCTTAAATATTTAAGAATAGGAACCTTACAGCACTTTGAAAGGCCCGAGATTCTGGTAAATTGGCTTTCATTGTCCTCTCTGTGAGAATGGAAAATCAGGGTTACTCATAGAGTGAGGGAAGGAAGAACAACAGCAAAATAAGCAAGCAACTTCCTTGCCCAAATTGATAAAATTTGAGTTGGAAATTTTCTGTAGCACAGCCTATATAAAATTATACAGAACAATTCTTCAAATGCCTCCTAAAATGTGCACCACACATAAACCTTGGCAATAATCCTAAAGGCAAGAGTCATGAATCCCCATATTCTCCATTATCTGTACTGGCATTTCTCCACTGAAGTTTTATTTGCAAAGAGGATTTTCCTCCCAAACATAAGATAATGGAGAAAGGATGGTTGCTATGCGTCAGTTCAGAAATGGTTTTGCTTCAGTGGTGTGCAGGCAGTTCTGATAAGACTATGATCTTTGGAAAGGAATCATGTTATATAAATGAGATACTTAAATATAGTTTTCATTATCCTGTCAGAAAAAAAGTACAGGCTTCTTTTCCATATGCCTCATTTCCTTGGTTTAGTTTAGGGTGGACTTTTGGAAAGGACAACATTGTAAGCAAAACATTAACAATGACTCCTTTGGGTCATTATTATCTTACTCTCTAACAGAAAAATCTAATCAAATAAGCAAATCAAAATCTTACTACCCCCTGAGAATTAAGATTTAGGTTAGTATCACCCCATCTTTCATTATTCTTTTCAACTTTCACATCATGAAAGATCACAGCATTTCTAATCTTATTAACAAAACAAAAGCATATTGTAGAATACAGTGAGAATTAAGCCACTTTTCAAATAGTGTAAGAATTTCACAGTTAATCCCTTGTTGTTTCTGCTAATTAGCAATGACACGTGGATTGCCGAATCTCCCCAAGAGATTTCACTGCAAGATGAAAGAGAAAATAGAATAGAATGGAAGTAGAAAGTTTCTATACAACAATAAGTTTCTAATGCAACAAAGAGACATAGCAATGAAATGAAAGATGAATAAAAAGTGCTACACCTGAACTTGTTTTGTTGTTGTTTTTGTTTGTTTTGTTTTTTCTGTGTTGGGCATCAAATCCAGGGCCTGAAGAATGATAGAAACTGAGGTGCTGAGAGCATCCAGTCATCCCGTTACTCACCTCGACACTATCCTCCTTTTCATCCTATGTCTGTAGCTGGCTGTTGAGTATCCAGGTTTCATTACCCAGGACAGCTCCTTTTGAACCAGGCTAGGAGTGAGGACTAGACTAATATAAAGAGCCCAGAGGGCCTGCCTACTCCTGTGAGGTTTACCAGAGCACTGTCCTGTCTATACCCAAGTCTATGTAAAAGGATGAAAGTCTGGCACAGGGACTTTTGCCATGAATCACTTATACTCACATGCACTGGGGAAAGGTTCCTACCTGTATTACAAATGGATAATGTAGTCACACTGAAGGGGAAAGGGAAGAAAGAAAGGATCAAACCCAAATAACTTTAGAAGATAATATTTTGAGTGAATACTAAGGCTAAGATAAAATAATTGTACAAATACTGTGTTCTAGTTAGTACATTTGCTTCCATAGTGGTTAGGTTAGCAATTTTGAAACTACTTTTCTAACAGTAGGATTGAACTGATATTTAAATAGAATGTGGATAAGGAGAGCCAGGTTTCTCATTGTCAAAGAAAGGAATTGCAAATGAGCAAGAGGGAAAAGCTGCCCCAAAACCTGTGGTGCTGGATTAGCATTGAAAATATCATCATGAATTCACAATTACTTAGCATAAATTCAGATAGTACAAGTAAATCCCATGTTGTACTGAAAGGGGATATATCAGTAGGAGCTGGTGGATTTTAATATGTGTACAAATACAAAAACGTAGAAATAAATAGTATGTGTATGTATGCACAACTCTCTCTATGAGGGCCTAGAAACAATGACACCTCAACATCTGGAAGCAATTAATTTGGTTTCTAAAGACCATTCTCCAATAAAAGGAACCAAGGTTCTGTGTAGAAATGGCTCATTCCAGAACTAGGACAGGGGAAATAAAAATGAGCCTTTGGTAGTGCCATAAAGACAGGAAGTACTCAAAAAAGGACAGAAATCTGTTAAAAGGCAGAAGAGCTAGATTGAAAGATTTCCCAATAGAAAGATTTCCAATTTCTCCAAAGTTGGAATAATTTGAATAACAAAGTAAAAATAATAATATTAGATTACAATTCTGGAATAAAATATCAACAAGACCATACCAAATAAAGAATTGCATAAATAAACAAATGAATATATGGAAGAGGAAGGATAATTCTCCCTTCTAGAAGAATTTGAAATCAGGCATCCTGTCTTAAAGTTAAAAAAAAAAAAGTGGAGATGTAGCTCAGGGGTACAAAGCTTGTCTTGCATGTGTGAGCCCTTTAGGTGCAATCCCCAGTACCAAAAAAAAAAAAAAAGAATTTCAATTAATACATCAAAGAAATGAGGGAAATACAAAATCACCATTAGACAAATACCATCTTAATAACTGTTGCAGGCAAGATCCACCATTGGCTGCTAAAATTAATGGGTGAGCCAGGCATGGCGGCGCATGCCTATAATCTCAGCACTTGGAAGGCTGAGGCAGGAGGATCACTGAGTTCAAGGCCACCCTGGGCTACCTAGTGAGTTTAAGGGCAGCCTGAGCTATATAGCAAGACTCTCAAAAAACAAAAAATAAATAAAATAAAATTAATGGTGAGAGTTTGAGGAAAAATAGGATATTTATAATAGTCTTAAAATAAATAGAGACATTTACTAATTATGAAAAGGAAAATAGTGACTTTATAACAGAGAAATACAGCAGACACAGTCTTAACCAAGTGATCAAGGTTAACATCAACAACTATGAATTCCCCGATGTTATATACCAAAACCCACATACTATCACTTCTTATAGAATTACCAAAAATGTATAGTCTAATTCTAAGCAGGAGACAATACCCAAAAACTCAAATTGAGAGACATTCTACAAAATACTGGCCAATTTTTGTTAAAAGTATCAAGGTCTTAAAAGATAAGAAAAAACTGAGGAACTGTCACATAGTAGAGAAGATCAAGAAGATATAATAATAAATGGAACATAGAATCATGGATTGAGTCTGAAACTGAAAAAGGACATCAGTGGAAAAACTGGTGATTTTCAAATAAGGTTCATAAATTTAATTAATGATATTTAATGGTATGGTATCAACAATAATCCCCAAGTTTTGATAATTACACTATGCTCATGTAAGATTTTAACAGTAGGAAAAGCTGGGTGCAGGGTATTTAAGAACTCTGTACTATTTTTGCAACTTTTTTGTATGCCAAAGATTATCTCAAAACAAAAGCTTAAAAAATAATAAGATATAGGTAAAAATCAAGAAGAATTTGTGGCAAAGTGGAGATAATATATTCACAATCTGTCATTTTCCCTTTTAAATATACTGACACGTCCTTTAAAAACCTAGTAATTATTTTTTGATGGGGTACTAATTTTGTAAAACTCTATGTATAACATTCATATCCAGTAGTATCATATAAAACATATCTGTTTTCTTACTGCACAGTAAACTTCAAAACAATTTTAAAATCAAAATTTTATGGAATCCATGTTTTATTCATTTCTCACTGGCTGGGTAATATATCACGGCACTTTTTCTGTATGCCTTCTTAGGATGGCCCCCTGGACACTTATTTCTCTTTCTGTTTTCTCTCAAAAATCTTAACTGTTACTATAGTAGGACACACTAATTCTGTCTCATGAAGGATGCAAACCTAACTTTCCCAGTCTTCCTCAAAATACCAATCTTAACATGTCCTCCTAACACATTTCCCTTTCTATTCCTGAAAATGAAACTTTGACTAATTTTTTATATTTATATCTGAATAATTATGACTTCTGCCTTTTAATTCCAGATGATATCTTCAAATGTTTCTTTTTTTAAAATCACTTTGACTACCTTACTTTTTTCTTTGTATCTTAGGTGTCCGTAGCATATTCAAATTCCTATTATTGATTTCTAGGGCCTTTAGAAGTCTATTGCCACATTTATCAAACTCCCTCAATATCTTCTTAATATTCTCTTTTCTCTTATTAAATCCATTCATTCACATATTTATTCTATTAACTTTCACTTAATTTCAGCAAGTCCTAAGGTCCTGCTGTATTTGGTCTAGAAGACCGAAAATACACTTGCTGCATTTTTCTCCTCTCATCCAACCATCTTGTGTACAAATCTTACAAGTAATTCATTTTACACAAAATGTTATCAGTTCCAAATTCAGATTATTATCCGTTGCCCTTCATTCATCAATATAAAATTGATCAGGTATTTTTACAGTAATCAAAAGTGGATAGAATAAAAGGTAAAACTTTTAAAATGCAGATCAATAGAAAGCAAAGCAAAGATACAAGTGTATCATTGCTTTAGGATCTGAGCTACCAAAGGGCAAGTAACTTGTTCTCATATCTTCTGAATAACCCAGATACAATGGACCAAACTAGAAGTTTGGTCAAATGAAGCCACGCTTTCAAAAACTGCCAGAGAGATAACTAAATAGTGAAATGCTATTCTGAAGAAGGTAATTTCTATGTTTATCCTCTCTTTTCCCGGATCTCACCCAGGATTCTCTATAGCATAAGCAGTATAAAAAGAACAGCCCCAGAACAGGGGGTTGGTGCACTGGCCTGTCTCCCAGGTTAGCTGCACGGCACATGACAAATAGCAGGGCAATTTTGGAATTTAGGATGAGACTCTCATGAGCTTAGTGTTAACTTTATCTCACCTCTGATAGAGCTTCTTGTCATTTACACTATAGACTGCTGAGTAGAGCGACAATGTAATACCTACCTTGTGATTTTCCTTGAAAGTTTGGATTAGTAACTCTTTCAGTTTTCTTTTTCTTTCTTTTGCCACTTTTTCTTCATCCAGAAGAATACGAGCACTTGGAAAAATGCCTTTCTCTGGATTCTTTTGAAGATTTTCTTCTTGCTTTTTCCTCTCTCTATTAATAACAATTAATGTGTAATAGATTTAATAATGAGTAATTACAACCTACTGTAGTAGAATGAACACTGAACTTTTCCTTCAAAAGACACAGATATTTAGAACTGGCTCTAAAACTATGTGGTTTTTTGGGGGGAGGGAGGAACCCTAGTTAATTCCTTTATAAAGATAGATTATATAAAATAAAATTGTTATAAAGTATTTTGACAAATAGAAAGTCCTATAGATATTTCAGTAAAGTATTTTTAAGTTTAGCATTGAGCTATACTTTGATTAAATTTGAGAATTAACAACTATTAAGTATTCTCTAGAGTAGATATAAATTTTCTCTCTTCATATTAGGAAGTAAAAAGGATCCTCAAGTGAGAAAGGAGTGGGATTCTCATCACAAGGTTTCTAGAAAGAAAAATAAAAGAATCAAATGTTATTAAGGAGAGAATGGAATCTAGAGTAATTCTAAAGTAGTCAAAAGAGAAAAAATAAGAACTTCATGACAAAGAAAAAACTTCAGGCAAGTAACCAGAATCTCTTAGTCATTTTGCTGCTCATTTTTCTGGCCATCCTCTTTCTTGAACTACTATCTATTCTTCCTCACCAAAGCCATCGCTCTTCCACTCACCAATTCAAGCAGGCTCACAGCTTCTGCCTTCTTATGGTTAACTACATAGGTATGTAGTTACAGTAAGCATATATAGTAAGTCCTCAACTTATGAACATTTGAATTGGAATGTTCTTAGATATCAACTGACCTTGCATTACGAACATTCATAGATGCAAATTGCAGCAGCAGCTCCTGTGTCTGCTGAATGTTGTCACAATTGTGCTGCTGTGTGCTTATTGTACAGTGTGATAATGTACAGTAGTATGGAACAGCTGGGGACTTACTGTATTTCAGTGTATGCTTGTTTTTTTAAACACTTTACATTGTATACAGGGTGTATAAGACTTACTTCTCACTTTGTTGGACTTAGGAAAGAATCTGACTTATGAACATTCTCCTGGAATGCAACTCATTTGTGAGTCAGGGACTTACTGTACTATTTTAATGATGTGGTAATAATAGCACCTAGTCAGGAACCAAGATTCATTCTCTGGCCACAAACCAGCTGTGAAAACTCAGTGAAGTCAACTAGTCTTTCGGAAACTTCACTTTATAGCTGAGAAAATTTAAACTGAGAGGGATGACTGATTACAGACATTCTCTCATTCATTCTCATATATTGTACAGAGGACACACAATGCTATCTTATTACTGGTGATGTTAGCCCTTTTCACCTTGTTAAGGCAAGTTCTCTGGTATTTTTCCCTTTGTAGTTAATAAGTACCTCAAGGAAATACTTTAAAATTATGCAATATAGGAGATTCAGATAGCTTACAAGTTATAAAGCCCTATCAACAATCGAATCTTATTGACTTTCAAATTACTAATTTCATCGCAATGTCTACTATAAATTTTATTTTAATTATTTTAGTACAAAAATCTTTGTCTAGATTTCTGATCATTTTCTTAAGGCTGTTTTCCTACAATCTGAATTCTCAGGTCAAGAGATAATACCATTTATGGGCTCTTGTTTATTGTTTATTGCCAAATGGCTATTTGGAAAGTTTAAATCAGTTCATCTACCTAGAAGCAAAGCCTATTATCTGTTAATACTGTAACTATGGATAAGATTTCAACTTTGTAAAGAAAGGACTGGTCAGTTGAGTGGCCACTGTGAACAGTGCATCCTGCTACCATCAACTATTACTTGTTTTCACAATTTATTTTAGGTCAGCCTAGTTTTTCCAGGGCTTGGGAGCAATCTGAAAAGCAAGGCTGACCCTAGAAAGAACTCACTAAAACACTGGTGATTGTTTTCTGAAAGGAACAGCATCTGGAGGAGGCCTGAGTCTGGTACTTGAAGGAGTGAAGCACAAGTCCACTGCTGAGCTGTTTTAAATTGGGTAAAATGAGAGCAATCAAGAACACAGGGGGGAAAGGCTGTGTAGGCTGATGGGGGTGGAAGGATTATCTAATAGCTCTTTCTGGCCTCTCAGTCTGAGTATATTCAGACACTTTAGTCACGTTGTTCCAAGACTTTTGCAGTTCATGCATCAGTGCCATTTCTTGGAATAAATATATTAGTTATTTCACTTATGAAGCTCATTTTCTGCATAAAGATGGATAATAGTACTACATCCTGTGAAGACTATTTTCATTTTCCATTTATGTCAGATATTTTTCCTTTGTCAGTGGCAAAAAGGCAATAGTGACTTGCTCTATGATTATCAGAAAATAAAGCTCTAACAATTCACAGCAGGACAAGGCACAATTACTGGACTGTATAAGGAAGGCATAAGAAAACACGTTTAACCTTAAAGATATTATGCAACAAAAGAAATGCAAAGTAATCAATATAATGCCTATTAAAAGTATGAAAATACTGAAAGTGATATAATCTCCAGTAATGAGCAGAGTGTGGGAAATTGGTCCTCTGCCAGCAATGCAGTAAATAAGTACAGTACAGCCTATTCTGAAAGCAATTTAGCAGTATTTCAAGATTCATAAAAAGAGCTATACTATTTAACTCAGTAATTATAATTCTAAAAATTTATCCTAAGATATAATTCAAAACAATAATAAAGCTATAGGCTCAAGCATGCTCACAGAAATATTGTTGAAAAATCTAAAGTAGCCAAAATGCTTGGCAATATGGACAGGAGATCATTATATAAATTATGGCATAGGAACTCAATGGAGTAGCAGACTTCAGGACTTCAGGACTCCAGGCACTGTGCTAATTTCAGCAGAATAACAACTTAAATGTATTTTATGGTCATAATTAAGTATGTAAAGGGGTTAATACCAGAAGGGAACATAGAAAAATAAAATTAATTTGTGAAGTTGGTAGAATATCAGATGATTTCTCTTTTGTGCTTTGTTACTGCAATGTTTGTACATTTTACAAACTTTAGAGCACTTCCAAATGACTGCTCAAATAAACCCTGCACTGCTTATGCTGGCTTACATCTTCCATGCTTCTTCCACAGTGCGCCTCCTTTCCAGTATTTCCCTTCGCAGCTTTACCATCTCCCTTTGAATCTCCTCCTTCTCTTTCTTGGCCTCCAGGGCCTTCCTTTTCTTCTCTTCTTGCACCAGATACTGAGCCTCCAAGAAAGCTGATTTTTTCAAGGCCTTTTCCATTCTGTGGCACTCCAGTTCTTTCTCACGTCTTAAGCGATTTTCTTTAACCTTAGAGAGAATATAGGGTCAAATACAGTCTTTCAAGTAGAAAGGATAAGCAAAACCTTAGAACACATTTTGAAGTTCAGAATACAACCACTTTAAAATATTGTGGCCTAGAACTCCACTGTTTATTGGTAGAATACTGTGAAATCATTTGCTCACTGGTGAAGCCAATAAGAAGTTTTATATGAAGTCAGATGAAGATAACTCTCAAACAATCTGGGAAGGATCTGTACCATGTATCAACTCAAAAGTTGAGTCTAGTGGGCCAGATCCCAAGTTCTGGATTCTAATTTAGTAATGATTTTCCACCCATAAGATTGTCCAAGGTGTCCAAGAACTGTTTTTTACTTAGGCTGTCTGCTTTCTAATTATAACTTCAGAAAGAATAGGGATTTTTTTTTTTTTTGAGGCTATGTTGTGAAGGATATAACAGTGATTTGCTGGCCCAGGGATTTATCTCAGTGGTTCTGCCGCCTGCCTTGCAAGCGCAAGGACCTGAGTTTGATCCCCGGTACCAAAAACCCCCCCCAAAACGCCCCCAAAAACCAGTGATTTGTTGCCTTAAGGAACACTACAACTCTTTATTCATTTCTAGTATTTTTTTTTTTTGGTACCAGGGATTGAACTTGGAACCTTGTGCCTGCGAGGCAGGTGATGGAACCACTGAGCTAAATCCCTGGCCCATTTTTAGTATTATTTAAATATGTTAGTGATTCTGGACTATACTTGGAAATCAAAAACATGAACTACTTCACCAATATTTCTAAGCATATTCACTTTTTCTTCCAGATCTATTAATGCTTTAGAGGCTGGACTTGCCATGAATTAAGGTATGGTCTTTTCACTCCTATTTCACTTAACTTTATCCTTATTTTACTCTCTAGTTGTAAGACACCTAGATAATGACCATACATCTCACTGAATCTTCTCCCCCTTTTGCCACTCAACCAAACCAGGATCATATTTCTGCCCCATTTCTCTAACATCCCCAGCACTGATTAGGCATACTTTAATGGTTATAATTTTCAAATTTGGCAACTAGAATTTCAGAATTATAAGAAGATAGCACACACATATGTATAGATATTAATTCCAGTTCAGACTTAGTTCTGGACAGATGACAAAGACTGGGTCATTTCCTGAAGCTCCTGCAAAAAGGTGTTGACATAGTCTTTTCCCCTATTACCTACTATTCCCTTTGGATAAAGGAAAGTTCCTACACGCCTTTCTAATTCAAAACAGTAAACTAGATTTAATTCAGATCTGTCTTCGTTTTCAAATTATAATCACAAAATGAGCGAATTTCAGTTGTCTAGAAAAGAATTATCCTTATAATATTCACCAGAATATTCATGATAATATATTAATGTCACATTTCAAAAACCAAATTCAAGCAAATGCAACCTACATATTTCTAATAGGAAGTATCACATTCAAACTAATAAAGCTTCATTTAACACTCTATTGGTCAAAATCAATTATTCTACTTTTGGTTATTTCTTAAATAAATTGTTTCCTATCCTCAGTTTATGAGAATTATTTTTCTTCTGAAGTTCTTATATTTTATTTTTATTCTTTCTAACCAAATCACAGATGGCACCCTTTTTTATAATAAAGTCTAAGTCTTTATTTAAGCTTATTAAATGTGTTACACAAAGACTGCTTCCTGTTATCCATTTTAATTTTGTTTTTCCCTCCCACCTGCTTATGTCTCATCTCCATGGTAAGACGAGAATCCTTCTGCTGCTTGTCTTGGTTTTCCTTCATTCCAAGATCTTCCAAAATTCCAGAATCCACCACTTCTTTATGGAGCAGATGGTCCATAAATTTTTGAATGGTGATACTTTCCTCTTCTTCCTCCAAATAGCCACATAAATCTGGGAGAAACCAAAAAAAAAGGGAAATTAAAAAATTAATTGTAATGTAATACTCAAGTTTATATAAAGAACACAAAAAGAAGCCTTTTTTTTCTTTGCTTTTGGTACTGGGGATCGAACTCAGGTCCTTGCTCTGCGAAGCACGTGGCGGCACCACTGAGCTAAATCCCCGGCCCAAAAAAGCCATGTTTGGCAAATAGTAAATGATAATGCCAGATGGAGGAATACAGCTCTCAGCAATTACCTTCAGCTAAGAGGAAAAAGCTCTACTCATCAAGAACTGCTCTCACTTATGTCTCTTAAGAACTTCTTCACAGCCAAATCTAAAAGATATTACTTCAATTTAAACAAACTTGAAAACTCTACTAATAAAGCTTTACTGTATAAGGGACATAAAATAAATTACAAATGTTTAAAGTCTATAATAATTTTGTCACATACAAATGCTAGTAAAGCCATCACTACAATCAAGACAATGAACATATATATCAACCCCAAAAGTGACCTCATGCTGACTTGTGTTCTCTTCCTCTGGCTCCTCCCCACACACTCTGTACTGCTTCAGGGAAGCACAGAATAGCTTTCTGTCACAATAGATTAGTTTGCACTGTCTAGAACTTTATATAGATTAAACCATACACTGTATATTCTTTTTTTTTTTTTTTTGGTAGCAGGGATCAAACTTGGGTCCTTGTGCTTGCGCAGCAGGTGGCAAAACCACTGAGCTAAATCCCCAGCTCTGTATATTCTTTTTTGGTCTGGCTTCTTTCTCTCAGCACAACCATTCTGAGACCTAACCATTTGTGAGCATTGGTAATTTATTGGTTTTTATTTCTGAGTAGCACAGTATTCCACTGTATGACTACACCATAATTTAGTTATTTATTCATATGTTGGACAATTGGATTGCTTTCAGATTTGGGATATTACAAATAAGACTGTCATAACATCTGTATACACATAGAACATAGATTTCCTGCTGAGAAAATCCCTAGAAGTGCAATGGGTAGATTATATGATATATATATATATATATATATATAATTTAATGCTTAATTTTTAAAGAAACCATTAAACTGTTGTCCAAAGTGGTTATACAATTTTATATTTTCCCACTAGCAATGTAGATGTTTCAGTTCCTCCACTTTCTTATCAGTACTTGGCCTGGCCAGTCTTTTAACCTCAAGCTATTTAAATAGATACTTTAGTTTTAATTTACATTTCCCTAATAACTAATGATACTAAATATCTTCCTTGTTGATATTTTTTAGTTGTTTAATACATTATTGAACGTGTGATATTGAAGTCTCCATTTATTGATATTGAATTGTGTATTTCTCCCCTCAATTTTTGTCAGTTTTTGCTTCATCTATTTTTGGATGTTAATATGTAGTGACAATATATTGTAATATATTAATATCACATTTCAAAAACTAAATTCAAGCAAATGCAATCTGTATTTCTAATAGGAACTATCATATTCAAACCAATAATAAAGCTTCATTTAACAGTATTGGTCAAATCCAATTATTCTAACTTTGGTTATTTATTAAATAATTGTCTCCTATTACATAAATTTTTCATTGCTGTTTTGTATATGGATTGGCCTCTTTGGTATTATAAAATGCATTTTGGTCTCTACCGACAATTTCTTGCATTAAAGCTTACATTTTTTCTGATATTAGCATAGCCATTCTAGATTTGTTTTGGTTACTATTTGCACAGTATATCTTTTTTCCATCCTTTTACTCTTTTTTTTTTTGAGACAGGGTCTCACTATGTAGTTCAGGCTGGCCTCGAACTCACTATGTAGCCCAGGCTGGCCTTGAACTTGTTGCAGTCTCCCTGGCTCAGCTTGTGCTGGGATTACAAACATGAGCCAATATACCCAACTTCCATCTTTTACCTTTCAACTTATTTATATCTTGAGTCTAAGGTTTCTTTGAGATAACATATAGTTATGCCATGTATTTTAATCCACTGTGCCAATCTTTGTCTTTGAACTGGAGTGTTTAAATCCATTTATATTTAATGTATTTCTTTTTTTTTGAAAGCATTATTTTCCCTTTAAAGGTCTTACATATTACTGATTTTTTTTCCCATTAAGTTTACTGGTACATTTTAGGTATAAAATACAGTTACATACATCATTGGGATCTTGTACCTTTACATGAGTGTCTTGGTTCTTATTTTTTTCCCCTTCTCCTGCCCTCCCTTCCCTATTTGCAAAGACTTTGTTTCCATTTTTTTCCTTTTCTCATGTTTTTTCTTTTCCCCTTTCCTTTCCCCTACCTCTCCCATTTCCCCTACTCCTTTAGACCTTTTCTTCCTATTACACAATATCAATAATACATTTTTAAAATTACAATATCAAGATCTAGAAGACAGTACCACAGATTTTACAGAATTTAAAAGGATATAGAAAGCATATTACAAAAATCCTTTTTGAAATAAATTTGACAACTTCTAAGAAGTACCTTGGAAGACAAAGTAATGAAACTAACTCTGGAGGAAATATAAAATTT